ACTCATCGACAGCTCAAAATTCCGTCTCGTTGCTTCCTTATAATTGATCTAGTTTATGGATGATAGTGATACCCGATAGTATCAGGAACATGTCCCGTTTCGTTGATCTTGACAAATACATAAACCATGAATTTGGGGATAATATAAAACTCTATAGGTATATCAGCTGGTCTTCATTTGACTTCTTCATCAATCTCTTGCTCTTGGCCAACATGGTCATCTTTGTTGTATGTATGGTCCTGTATCGATGGTCTGTAAACTTGGCTTGACTTGACGATTATCCGTAATGTAATCTGTACGGACTCCGATTGACGGGCAGAGGCCGCAACTCGAGTGCCCGGACAATTAGCTATCAGCTAAACCGGCGCCACCGTCAACGCCCATGTCTCATTTCCGGACATGCAGTGGGGAAAAGTCGGTTGACCCACACTGCGAGCAGTACCTCGAAGCTTTACTTACCACGTTGATTGTCCAACTTGCACATCGGCATGGTCTTGGTGACCTTGCTTACCCTGCTCAAGACGCCTGGGGACTTCAACCATCAAGCCATCTACGGTCTCGCCATATTTGATTTCTGCCTTTCGCCCTACACATCTCTACAAGAGCGCAATACCATCATGTCCCCATACATGACCTCCCCAACGTCCACAAAACCGGACCATGACTTGATGACTACCGGCACCGCGGCAGTCATAGGCGGCGGGATATCCGGCCTCTCAGCATCCGTCGCCCTCCGCCGAGCCGGCTGGGACGTGTCCATCTACGAGCGATCCAAGTTCAAAAATGAAGTCGGCGCCGGCATCACGGTGCCCCCAAACGCAGGGCTTGTCCTCCGTCACTTGGGCTTCGACTTTGAGAAAGCTCGCCCTGTGGCGAATGAGACCACCAGGATGTCGAGATGTGATGCGCCGCCGGGCGAGTTTTATCTCAGTGAGACTTACACTCGGGATGATGGGCTCAAGAACGGAGCAGTTAATGGAAACGGACTTTGGAATGGGAACAAAAGTCTAGACGCAGAACGAAAGGCAAGGGAATCTAGGGCCTTCGAAGGCTTTGGGAGCTGCATGTTTCACCGGGTAGATCTCCATCGGGGTCTGAGGGAGCTTGCGGAAGATGCTAATGGGGAAAGCGGCAAGGGTAAAACGGTGGAGATGAAGCTCGGGGTTGAGGTTGAAAAGATTGACTGTGAAGCGGGAATTCTGACGCTCGCGGGCGGACAGACGGTCAAGGTCGATCTGGTTGTCATTGCCGACGGTGCGCATGTAAGTCTTTTTTTCTCCATCACCGTCTCGTCAAGGCATCAACATGGCAGGTCGAAGAAAACAAACCAAACTGACTGAACGCAGAGCGCTCTTCTTCAAGACTTCACCGGCTCGCCCCCTAAATTCCATCGTACTGGACGGTCCATTTACCGCTGGCTGGTCTCCATGTCAGACGTTCTCGCCGACCCACTTACAGCTGCGCACTATCTTCCCACGTCCCCAACAGGATTCATCTCCTTCTCTGACCCGAAGAAACGTATTCTCTGGGTGAGTTATCCGTGTCGGGGAGGGACTGTCCTAAACAATGCAGTCCTGCACGATACCCAGCCGGGCGAAGGGGCCGACTCGGAAGCACAGTCGCAATGGCATGCCAGCGCAAGTAAGGAATCCGTCCTTTCTCGGCTCGAGAACTTCGATGAGTCCCGTCGAAGGATCGTACACATGGCCAGCGAAGACGGTATCAAGGTCCATCACCTGTTTAAACGGCCTGCTCTGGAATCTTTTGTGCGAGGGAGAGCTGTTGTCATAGGCGATGCGGCGCATGTCATGTTGCCTACTCATGCGGCGGGCGGAGCATCGGCCATTGAGAGTGCGGCGGCGCTAGAGGTCTTGTTCCGGGGAGTGAATGGAAGCGATGACGAGCTCGTAAAAGACCGACTGCGGTTATTTGACCAGCTTAGACTGCCACGGTGCAATCTGGCCATGCTGGTGTCGAATGCCGGGGGTCCGTGGACCGGAGATTCCGAGGTCGAGGAGGAGGTGAGGAAGTTTTATCACGGCCCTTTGCCGCCCGTGGGAACGCTTCCGTGGATGAAGGAGTTTAGGGAGATTTTGTTTCATCACGATGCGTACAAGACGGCGAAGCAGGCGTTGACGGGGCGCTTGTGGTTCCCGAACTAGACAAAGATCTGGATCTCTGAAGGTCGAGAAGCTTGACGGACCGGGCCAGATCGGGGCCGACTCTGCCGAGGCATGGCTCATTTGATGAGATTGACCTGCGAGTGTATGAGGGCTTGGCTCGCGGTGCTTGATAGCGGTTGATATGAAGAATTATATGAGTTTAGTGCTGTTATTGGTCAGTGTCCAGTCTTCTCCATCATGTCTGGTGCGGCTATCTCTTGGGTAGGACTGCAGATATCGAGAAGGTGAGCTGCTTTCCGTTTGAAGTAATACTGTAATCCAGAGTCCCAGGTGAGCATGTAGATGCCGCTTTCTCCCCCAAGGACAATAAGGCACTACTTCTGGCCGCACAATTTGGGACATGCACACCGACCACACCCTCCTCCTCGTCATTAACCCGATGGGCTTATTGTGTGGGGTAGGACATGTGTCTGTCATCTCGCAGCATTGGCAGTGCGGAGTCGGCCTGTAGCTAATATCTGCTCATGTATGGAAGAATCCGTTTCCTTTCTGTGGGGTCTCGGTTGATGAGGTTGACGTAAGGCTCGCAGCGGTGGTGTGCAAAGACGGTGACCAATCTGACTTCCTATCTGATCAGCAAGATAGGGGTCGTCGTTTCCGTCTTCCATTCACGTGTTGCACAGCAACTGTTGCGATAACCAGGAGTGCAGAGTAAAGATAATAAGCCAATTGCAACGTCGGATATTTGACAATCCAACTCAGCTCGCTCCTAGGTACTCTGGATAAGCGTGAGAGTGCTTGTTCTGGAATTTTCCACACACGCAAGAGTACCATCGCCGTCTTGGAAGAGCTCATAGCAGTCTTGGGTGCACGTCGAAGCTCAATTGCAAGTCCCGAGGATCCCAATCTAGCATGCTGGGGTCGCCAAAATGTCGTGGTTGGCGAGGTGCGTCTCTTCTTTTAAGTGCCGAGAGGGCTTGTCCATGGCCAGACGGAGCTTTCTCGGGTTACCGCCAAGGCGGTTTTTCATCCGCATATGCTCTCCAGGCTCCTTAGCATGGCGAGGACACGGCACGAGTCCCGCCGTTCCTTGCAGGTGTCGAGCAGGTACTGGAGTCGGTAAAATCGGCAACCGGTTATTATTTAGCCTTAGTCTCTATTCGTCCTCCAGGCCAATATATTTCAGCGTCGCATTCGCCGGATACATCTAGCAGCAATTAGTGAATTGGGACAGATAGCCACCTCAACCACCGTTGGTGATGCTCAACTTCATCTACAGCCGAGGACGCCGGGTCTGGGGGATGGAACGACACGAGAGAAAAGTGTGGGGTTGCACGACCAGCCATGATGGGAAAAATGTCACGACACGGGCATCCAGGTTCCTGCATCCTTCCCACCCCTTTATGACCCTGACGGGTCCCGCCCTGAAGATCCAGTACTTGAGGCGGCCCTCTCCCCTCTGACGTCTGTCTGCGCCTTCTTCACATGCCTCCGCACAGACATTGATCTCCAACAACCGGACAACAATGAGGTGTGCCTACATCAGCGTGGCCGCGGCCGCCCTGTGCCTGGACGGCGTCCTCGCAATCGGCTCTCTTCACAGGGGTTACCAACGCAACTATCGCAACACTGGGAGAGCCGTCCTGACCGGCGCCAGCGAACACCACAAGGTAAACCGAACTGGTGTCAGCGGCAAGGACCACGGCCATGCTTATCACAAGCTGGACATGCGTCAAGCCGGCGGCCGCTGCGGTTCTCAGTACGGACGATGCCCAGATGATCTGTGCTGCTCCGATTATGGCTACTGCGGCGATTCGGTTGATCACTGCGCGCCGTTGTTTGACTGCCAGCCGCAGTTTGGAGTGTGTGGATGGCCGAGAGCGCCTCCTCCGCCCATTGTGACGACGACGTCTACCACTTCCACGACGTCGAGCACCACGTCCACAACCTCCACCACCAGTTCGACGTCCACCACTCCAACCTCAACAAGCACTTCGACCACTTCCACCACCAGCTCAACCTCGACTACCCCAACCAGCACCTCGACCACTTCCAGCACCTCCAGCACCTCTAGCGTCTCCGGGTCGCCCTCCACGCCAACCGGAACGGCCCCCGGTGGTCTGGTCATCACCACCGACGGACGATGCGGCAATGGCACCTCCTGCATCGGCAATTCCAACTACGGCCCCTGCTGCTCGCAGTTTGAATGGTGCGGTTCGTCGCTCGACTTTTGCGGCGCAGGCTGCCAGTCTCAATTTGGCGCTTGTCTGGGCATTCCCGGCCAGCCCCCCGTCAGCGCGTCCAACGTGACCACCATCCCAGGACCAACTAGCACTAGCACTAGTACTAGGACTTCGAGCTCAAGCACATCGACCAGCACGTCAGCTCCGCCTGTGATCATTACCACCAGCACCACTAGTACGTCCTCGACCCGCACAACCAGCACCACATCCTCTGCACCTCCGACTCCCACAGTTGTGATCCCACCTGGCTTCAGGACCTCGACCGATGGAACGTGCGGTCCGGGAATTACCTGTCTGGGCTCCACTTATGGACGATGCTGCAGTCAGTTTGGTTGGTGTGGCGACGGCGATCAGTTCTGTCCTTATATCGTTGGGTGCCAGTCCGAGTATGGATACTGTGATCCTAGACCATAGTCATAGTGTGACTCTGATGAGTATGGACAAGGGGGAAGAATCGATTGAGGCAGAGAACTAGAGAAGTCATACGGTGGGAAGATGCTTCCATGTTAATAGTAGCTATATGAGTTGGTAGAAAGAAAAATACGAAGCAAACCGTCCAAGGCCTGCTTGACCTACTCGTGCTCAAGAAAAAAATACACGTCCATGAAGAAAGAGAGGTAAAAATAACAGTCAACACCCGACGTGGGACTCGAACCCACAGCCTCAAGATTATGACTTCCTTCTGACTGGGTGAGCAGGAAGGTAGAAGTCTTGCGCGCTACCGATTGCGCCAGCCGGGCTTTGTTCTTTGATGTTGCATGTACTGGAAAGTTTGCTTTTTAGGGCTTGTTTTTTCATGTGCATTAGAATGGAGGAATCAAAGTTTATGTGGCGGTCAACCTTTTGTGAAGATTTTTCCTTGATGTGGGGAACTGCTTGACTGGCGGTAACCCGTATGTACGATTTAGATGCGTGCCTGAATCGCAGCTGCATCGTGCGCGGCCTTTGAAGTTACAAACCCATCAATTATTGCGGACGATCCCATGCGCTCTCTCATGGCGTCTGTGTAAATAAATGACACCGTCTTCTGGGACAAAGTGTGTTCATGGTTGCCTTGAAAACATTGAAGGCAGACGACCATTTCCACAAGACTCTTGGTTCGCACTCGTGTTAAGGTCATAACAGTTTGCTGGGCAATATACGCTTGTCCATGTTAGTTACCTACTTGATGCCTGGCTTGCATTGCATAAGTGGTATTCACTCTGCACCACCAATACCCGACGTTATTGTCTGTGTGGAATACCGGCACTACAAGAGGAAGCGGAAATATGACCACTCAACTGTTCGTTACTTCAGTCCAATCGCAAGAGCAGAAAGTTCGTTTGATGGTTATGATGAGTGCAGTATACTGCTTTAATTTTGTTCATTGCTTGATCTGTTTCCAGTTTCGTATTGTCATATACATGGGCCGCCGGTCTTAGGGACATCCGAAGTGGGGCCGAGGTCTCGGAGCCGGCGGACGGCCGGTCAGGGGTCGGGACACGGAGGAACAGTACACCACCATGTTACCGGGGCATAAACAAAGACCCCGTGATTCGCTGTTTTTGAGCATGTACACAGCAGATATACTCCTTTTTATCGGTTGCTCAGTTGTGCATTGTAGAACAATCGGTGTCAACGTGTTTATAACTTGCTTGAATAATTTCGACCTCTGGCCCCCAAACCCGCCTGCCTGTTTGGGCCTAAAGTGCACATCATAGCAGTCAGCACACGCGTATGCTTGCGCAAATAAACCACGCCTTTTGTGTGACAATATCAGTATAACAGTGGGGCATTCCGGATTCCACTTATGACCATTTAAGGTCTTTGGCGATATTTCCCCGCATGAGTCACTGGCCGCGATTCTTCTAGATGTTAAAGCAACGCTTATAAAGGTCAAGAAAGCTTCTCGCCTGCGTAAGAGACCAACGCGGCTCCCTCTTTCACAAGCGACGATGTGACTAAACAGCCGAGGGTTATCCACTTGGTGTGTTGAACTATTCCATCTACTATTCTACACATCTGCGGATGACGAGCGAAATTTGCTGCGTTGTGAAGTGGCTGGAAAAGAAGGTTTCAACAACAGCGGGCTACTTATAGACACCAACGCCAGGAGAAAGTATGGTAAAAAGAAAACTAATACGTTATATCAGCGCCGAATTTACCTTCAACGTCACTGCATCGGCGAGAGTCAAAGACCGATGAGTCACTGGCCGTTTTGACTGGATGACGAGCGAAATTTCCTGCGCGAGAGGATAACGACGTACGACAAAGTACATATACCAGTGGAACAAGTCGACGTGGGGTTGACTGGATATAAAGCAGCGGGTGCCCATCAAGCCAATGTTCGCCGATAACTTAACTTTACTAGTACGCACCTAGTAGCGACTTTAAACTTTCACAGACGCCCGGAATCCTTTATCCAGTCCTGGCAGGTACTTGTTTGGTCCTTGTATCAACGACACCACCAACAAAAAGAACATCGCAAAGGACGACCACCCAGTTTCTTGATCACTCTTAGAAACAATGGGGTCCATCACCACCACCACCACCACCACCACCCCCGGAATAGGGAAAATCTCCACCCGACCAGCCCTTATTCCAGCCGACGTCCCCGCCCTCGGCGCCATCGGCCGCGCCGCCTTCGGCTACTCCTCGCGCCTCCTGTTTCCCAACGCCGAGCCAAGCGACCCGTCAACCCAGCAGGACGAGGTCCGCTGGCGAGGAGCCCGGCTCGTGGCCCGCGTCAAGAATGGCAACGTTGCCTTTGTGGCAGTCACGACTGAGCCGTCCGCCGAGAACGGGCAGGATCAAGAAGTGATCGTTGGCGTTGCGCAGTGGAAGGTCCCAGCCAAGCACGAGGCCAAATGGAAAGAGCTGGTTGTCGGTGGTCTTCATGGCAACTTTAGTGACTACGGCGCCGAGTGGAACACGGAGTGGGATGAAGCCGGCAAGATTCCTCCGTCAATGGACATCACGAAGTTTGACGAGTTGATGGGTATTATTGCGCGGGAAGAGAAGAAGATTCTGGACGAGCAAGGGTTGGGGGAGGGTGATGTTTGGTGCAAGTCTCTCTGTTTCCCCCCCGTACTATATCGCCCTGGCTGGACTGCTGTGATGACGTCTGATGCGATGCTAACAATGGAAAAATACAGACCTCCAGACTCTAGCTGCACATCCAGATTACAAACGCCGCGGAATAGGAACTACCCTTCTCCAATGGGGCATCGACCAGGCCAAGGCAGACAAGGCCAATGTGTTTCTGACTGCTACAGCCGAAGGAAAGCATCTCTACGAGAGGCAAGGATTTGTTCAACTGGCCGAGTATGATGTTGGTGGCTATCCTCACTTTGGCATGATGTGGTTCTACCGCTCTGAGGGTGAGCCGGCGAACTGAACGGCATGTATATGGAACTAGCGAGGCTATAATAGATTGACACGTATGACTAGTGTTCTCATATACAATACAAGTCCTAATCTGTAGAAGCTTGTCGAATTATATTATGAATGCATCTTGGTATAGTGATGTGGTTGCATCCATCTCCCTCGACAAATACCCGTACGTAGCTGAAAAGCCGTCCCCAACCAATCAGCTGCCACAAGACAACAGCCAAGCCCTGCCCTGAACAGATTATGGGAGATAGGAGCAAGTCCTCCGGAAACTCGCTGTCCAATCGGCGTTTCGGGAATTGCAGGCAGCTGAGGCCACTGATGCCTGGATAGCGCCAAGTCTGTGGCTGAGATTCCCTGCTCGCGTCCTGTCGCTGCTCTTGCTGAGGTCAGATATTTCCCCTCTTCGTCACCATCACTGGCACATGCATCGTGCACTCAACAGCGCGAATTATCATGACACATCCCAGCATCAAGGATGAAGCCCGGCGCAGGAACAGAGAGTGGCTGCGGAGCTGCTTCACAAGGGATTTTGACCCTGAGAAGCAGCTCGAGAATGTTCACCGAGCCGAACCCGACACAGTCTGGGTTCAGCACAATGCCGTCTACGAAGCATGGAAATCCGACCCCGACTCGCGAGTGCTCTGGGTTACCGGCCCACCGGCCTGTGGAAAGTCAGTAATTGCGCGCCATCTGTTCGAAAAAGACCTGCCGTCCGTGGCCGAATCAAAGGTGTACTACCACTCGTTCTCACCCGTGGAGCACAATGCAGAGGACCCTTTTTCTGTGGCCGCGCGCTCTATTTTATCCCAAATCCTCGCAGGGGACCCAGATACACACAGAATTCTTCCAGACTTTAGCCACTTCCTGGAGGAGATCACAAGCGGTGACCCGTTGGCACTCAACTCGGCATCTGCAAGAGATGGTGCCGGTCCAGGACGGCTGAGTTTGTTTTGCATACTCGATGGACCTGATAGCGTGGTCACGGTCGACAAACCCGAGATGGCCGACTGCTTAGGTGAATTCCTCGACGCCTTGCTAAGCGGCAACCACTCTTACGATTTCAAAGTGCTCATCACCTGCCGGCCGATATTCCCGCGTCTGGAAGCAAGTGTTTCGAAATCCTTGGTTCTTCGTCTGGAAAACCACATGTCTGAATTCGAACGGTGTCTAGAGACGTATCTCCGCGCCCAGCTATCCATGAGCGAAAAGGTCCTTGTCCAAACTCATAAGGCCTGCGACGGCTCCTTTTTAGCTGCGAGCACTCTTGTTTCACGCGTCAAGATTCAAGAATTTGACCTCGACGCAGAGGACTTCGAGCGCAATCGATGCCTGCATGATCTTTTGACAGCCACACTAAACGAACCATACAAGGCCGCCCTGAGGAGAACCGGTCACTCTGTGCCCTTAGCCACCAAGATGCTTGAATTCTTGTCGGCTGCTGCTCGGCGCTTGACCCGAGATGAATTGGTTGGCATAGCTTGCTCGAATGAGGACGAGGCAACGGCTGCTCAGAGTCTCATCGATGGTCGATGCGATGGCTTCCTGTCGGTCGATTCCCATGCTCATATTGGCCTTGTCGGCGTATTTGGTATCCCTCGGTTTATCTCACCAAAGTACAGGGTGGCGTTCCGCAATATGCCTATTCACAGGGAAATGGCTCAGAAGTGCCTCGATCTACTCCTTTCGTCGGCCCGGTCTAAGTCGAATACCGTTGCTACCGGCTTTGATAGCTCTTTTCTCGACTACGCAGCGAGATATTGGTACAATCATGCCAACAAGGTTCCAATGCCGCCTCCACTCATTCCTTCGAAGGTAGTAGCACCTGGGTCTACAAACTCTCCTTTCTGGAATCGTGTCTTGAAGCTATGCAAGCCTGCATCACCCGAGCTGAAGGTCTGGTTTCCGCTGTCCTGGAGGGCTACCTACCCGGCCAATACTCTCCCAGATGACTTCATTGTTGATCTTGGTCTCAATGATCTCATGGTTGCTTCATATTTCGGACTTGCCAGCGCTATAACCGTGATGAGATCATATGGTACATTGGCGCCAAACGAGCGGGAGATGAGTGAGGCTCGGGACCGCAATGGTCAGACTGCGATGCATATAGCCGCTCGCAAAGGCCATGCCGGGGTAGTCAGAGCCTTGGCCAGGATAGAATCAGCAGCTATCAACATTGGAGACTCACAGGGGCAAACGCCGCTGCACCTTGCTACCAAAAACAGACACTATGCAGTTGTTCAGTTCCTGGTCCGGGGTGCAGATTTAAAAACCAATATAAATGCTACAGACTCTCGAGGCCAAACTCCGTTGCATTACGCGGCGCAATGGGGAGGTGAGAAGATCACCGGGGCTTTACTTGACGCAAACG